CATTGCTTTGGGGACGAAGTCATCGTTTTGGGGACGAAATCATCGTAGTCATCGTTTTGGAGTGAGCTTCGGGCAGAGGGGCAGTGCAACAGCGGGGCAGCGGGCGAGTCAGCTTCGGGCTGGGGCGGAGTGCAACAGCGGGGCAGCAGGCGAGTCAGTCTTGGGTTGGGGGGGGGGGGAGCAAGGGGCGCAGCAGGGGCACGAATCAGCTTTGTCAGCTTGAAGTGCAACAGGGGCACAACAAGGACGCGAAGGGTGCGAGCCAGCGAAATCAGGGAAGGATGCCACAGGGGCGCAGCAAAGGCACGAGTCAGCTCATCCAGTTTCACGGGGGAACGCAACAAGGGTGTAGCAGGGCGCGAGTCAGCGAAGTCAGCTCGGGGGGGAATGCAACAGGGATGCAAACGCGGTGCAAACCACTCCCGCGCTTGTGACAGCGCCACCGACCGACCCACCGACCTACCGCGCTTGTGACAGCGCCACCAACCAACTTACCGCGCTTGTGACAGCGCCACCAACCAACCGACCGCGCTTGTGACAGCGCCGCCCACCTACCGACCGACCTACCACGCTTGTGACAGCGCCACCAACCACCTACCGCGCTTGTGACAGCGCCACCCACCAACCGACCGCGCTTGTGACAGCGCCACCCACCGACCGCGCTTGTGACAGCGCCACCAACCGACCGCGCTTGTGACAGCGCCACCAAACCACCTACCGCGCTTGTGACAGCGCCACCAACCGACCTACCGCGCTTGTGACAGCGCCGCCGGCCTACCTACCACGCTTGTGACAGCGCCACAGACCGACCCACCGACCTACCGCGCTTGTGACAGCGCCACCAAACACACCTAACTAAGAACCCTCGGCCTCCTGCGCTTCGGAGGTGGAACGCAGCTGCTGGACATGGGAACCTAGCACCTGATGACCTGTTTGCTACAAAAAGCACTCTGAGGCCCGCACACTCCCACGACGCACAGAAGCCCTCTACAGCTACCGATGCTGTTGTCGCTGTTGCACCTGTTGCCTCTGTTGCTGCTGTTGCCGCTGTTGCTGCTGTTCCATCCACACCATCTTGAGCATCTTGCAGTTCATGTTCCAACAAGCATGCTAACGTGGTTCCAGCAAACGGAGTTGGTGTGATTTCATTTTTTCTGTTTCAAATGGTTTTGGATTGCTCCTGTGACGTTTCACATGATGCAGTTCGTGGAATGCTCAAAAACCATACCGTGGAGTGTGAAAAATCGTGAAAAACGCGTCGTGGAGTGTAAAAATCGTAAAAAAATATTGCGAAAAAAACACGTGAAAAAACGTTATTTTTTCTTTTTTGTCTCGCAAGCGCACAACCTACAGGAGCGGCCAGATCCGCTCTATTCACAGCGGGCACTCCCGGCGAACCTAAGGTCCGTGACCTCCAAAGTCAGCCCGCATTGACCGTTCATCAGCCACAGACTGCGGACCTGCAGCCGCACGCGCGCGGCGCTGCGGGCCAGCGTGGCCGGACGCACCGCACACGCCCCACCGCCGTCCCAGAAGCGCGCGTCGGCCGGCAGCTTGGCTTTCAGCAGCCAGTGGCCGCCCCTGGACTGCCGCACGGCCGGCAGCAGCCGCGCCCGAACCGCCTCGGGCGGGAGCTTGGCGCAAAAGACGCGCTCGGAGACGGCCGCCAGCCGCTCGACCAGCTCATCCTCGGCCCGCGCCCAGAACTCGCGCGTCGAGTGGTCGGCCGCGAAGCTGACCGTGGGCCGTTGCCTCTCGGAGTACGCTGACGGCTCCCACGGCATCTCCAAAGCGGCCGAGCTGAACCAAATCAGCGGCTCCAGGCTCAAGAACTTGCCTCCCTTTGCGTTCGCCCGCACCTCGCCCAAACGCCACATGCTCGGCTCGCGGGCCTTCGGCTCGGCTGGCTTGTTGCTGGCCATCTTCTTTTTATAGCACGGTGCAGGAAAAAGCTCGTCCGAGCAAAAAAACATCATGCCGGCCATCGGCCTGCTGGACTGCCTGGCTCTTCGTTCGCGGGCCTCGCTGCGGCGGTGTGGCTGGCCGTCCAGCCTCTCTGGGGAAAAACAATGCCGAGGCTGCTGGAGCTGTTCAGCGGCACGGGCTCGATTGGCCGCGCCTTCCGCGAGGCCGGCTGGGAAGTCATTTCCTTGGACCTCGAGCCTAAGTTCCGGCCGGATATCCTCTGCGACGTGCTGCAGTGGGACTTCCGCGCGGCCTTTCCGCCGGGGCACTTCGACTTCGTGTGGAGCTCTCCTCCCTGCGTGGAGTTCAGCAGGGCTTTGACAACCAGACCCAGGCGGCTCGAAGTCGGCGACTCCACCGTTCTCCGGACCTTGGAAATCATCGCCCACTTCGACCCTCCGATGTGGGCCATCGAAAACCCCCAGACTGGCCTGCTAAAAAGTCGGCCATTCATGCAACGGCTTCCCTTCAGGGATGTGACGTATTGTAGCTACGGCTATCCGTACCGTAAACAAACCCGCCTTTGGAACAATATGCTATGGGGGCCGAGTCGACCTGTGTGCAGCCGTCGGAACCGCTGCGAAGCCTGGCAAGAAGGCAGGCGCCGCGAAGCGGCGCAACGGGGGCCACGGCTTGTGGGCACTCACCGCGAGCAAATCAATTGGAAAAAACACAGCAGGGAGCAGCTCTACACAATCCCGCCCGCTTTGTGCGAGGAAATCGCCCGCGCAGAGCGCGTGAGCATCCCCGTCTGACCTCTTGCGGCGATTCCAAGAAAGCTTGACGACCTGGATGCACACGGGAAGCACTCAGAAATGCAATTGCAAGCTTTGACCACTCGCGAACCACAAGTCTCGCCACGGCCAGCTCCTGCCACGACGCTGCCACGCCGCAGAGGCGGACTGTCGCACCACAGCCGCAGTACTGTGAGTGAACATACCAGAGACGTGTCTGCGGGGGTCGCAATTCATCCCCTAAAACAGTGTTGCAGAGCAAAGGGCGACGGCGTCCGCCAAAGGCGGGTCCTGGTCCCAGTCCCACTGTGAGTTTCACTGGCTTGGGCGGAGTGCGTGCAGTGTGCGTCCGTCAGTGGATAGCGCGAAGCCCAGTGACGCTGTTGCGCGTCAAGCGTCTGCCCAAGGCAGGACGTGGCAAAGCAGGCTATGGCGCGAAAAGGATTTTGTGCGGAGTGACTGTTCAGGCAAGGCTTTGTTTTAGGCTGCCGGTAGCGTTAAGCACTAGGTGCAGGCGCGGTTAGCAACAGCAAGCGGTCGGACAGCCATTTCAATCGCATCTCAGCCTGAGCCTCGCCCACTGCAATGAATGTGGAGGAGATGAAGTGTCGTCGCACGGATCTGAAGCGACAGCTTCGTGAGCAGTCCAAGTTGCTGAAGTTGCGCGGCGTCTTGTCTGATTGCTTTGTTCAGTATTCATTGTTAGCAGTTGTGAAAAGCCTGTCAGCCAAGGAAGAGACGTCGTCTCATCAGGGCTGCGGGGCGCTTGAGCGCCGCCGATGTCGAGTGGCTGATGAAGCGGCAGCAGCCATCCACGGCCGCGGCGGGGCAAGACGAGGCTCCGGTGGATGCGCAGCCAGCTGCTGAGCCAGGACAGGCAAGCTCCGCGACGGCAGGGCGAAGCCCGACTGCCGAGGCGGCAGGGCGAAGCCCAGCTGCAGGAGGGCAACATTCCACTGCGGACGAGGAGCAGCCAGCCGCCGAAGAAGCTCAAGTTGCCTCTGATGTCGAAGACTATCAGAACGCAGCCGAAGAAGTGGACGACACCACGAACAAATGAGGCTGCGTGCGAAGCACATTGCCTTATTCTTGCGCAAAGCCCAGCCAAGCCAAGCTAAGCTGTAGCAAAACTGCGAGCTGCCGCCCCGTGTAAAACGTGGGCCGTGTGCTGCAGGGTGCCACTGGCCAGGTGTAACGCTACAGAATGCTTTAAATAAAGAGGGGGGGGGTCTCTTTTTTTTCTATAGCATTCCGTAGCGTTACAGTTGGGTTTGCGCCCAAAATCACGATCAGTTGAAACTGTAGTTGTACACGACCGCAGCCTTTTTGGCCAAAGCGGTGAGCACGCTACCATTTACCTGCTCCAAGCAATGGCATGCCCATTTTGCAGCATGAACATACCGCACGATGCCAGTGAAGCTGGGATCGCAGCGGGTGTGAAAAGAGCCTTCAAGATGGTGCACCCGGACCAGGCAGGCAGGCTGCGGCCACCGTGCGGTCCACTGCATTACGCGAGTGCGCTCAACTCAACCCAGCAAGCGCAAACGCAACGCAACTGGCTGCGCTGCTGGCAACGGGCTGGCAGCTGTGCCATGCCCGGTGGCGGCATCGGCCGCCGCCAAAACAAGAATGGTGGTGGACAGGCTCGTGGGAGTTGTCGAGTCTTCGCATATGTTAGGTTTGCAGTGACTGGTTGAGTTTGGTGGATTTGGTCGGCCTGCAGGGAATGGTGTTTTCAGTGGAGCTTGCAGTGACTGGTTGAGTTTGGTGGATTTGGTCGGCCTGCAGGGAATGAGCTGCTGGATAGAGAAGGAGGCGAGATTCGTGCAAGCTTGTTCAACGAAGCTGCGGAGCAGCACTATGATCTCATGCAGTGCGGAAGATGCTTCACGCTGTGCAACGGCAGCGTGCGCCCTGCTCAGAAGAAGTACAGCGTGCTCAAGCATGGCTACGAGCTGGTGTTCGACGGCAGATGTCAGATACACATGGTAGACGACGACGCTGACATCGGAGCAGTGCGCCTCGCCGTGCAGAAGATTGCTTCAGTGACACAGATGCCTGTGCCTAGCAGCGTGGATATCTGCGGAGTCATCGTTTCAGCGGAGCACCCTCAAGAGTTTCAGACCAAAGAAGGAAAAGCTTTAGTCAAGCGAGAGATCACTGTGGCAGACGACAGCGGCCACAGCGTGCTGGTTACCTTGTGGGGTGACAGAGCCAGATTAGATAGTCGCGAGTTTGCCGGCAGCCCCGTGGTGGCCCTCAAAGGAGTTCAGGTCAAGGATGAGCTGTCGAAGCGGCTCCATGGCGGAAGCAGGATCCATGATACTCAACCCAAACTTTTTGCCAGAGGCGCAGCGGGTAGCCGCCTGGTGGTACAAGGGAGGCAACCAGCAGAGATTGACCTACATCTCACATTCGAGCAGCCCAGCTGGTAGTCTTCGACCTTCACAAAGAGCGACCTCGGTAGAGATCTCAGCGATGTCGCAGCAGGCTGTGAGGGAGCAGCAGTCCTATACGCTCATATGCCGACTTGGGTCGCTACAGCTCCGAAAAAAAACCCACGAGGCGCGATGTTTTTGTTTGTTTATATTTCTAAATGTGTATATATATATATATATGTATATTCATCTACATATATAGAGAGAGAGAGAGAGAGAGAGAGAGAGAGAGAGAGAGAGAGAGAGAGAGAGAGAGAGAGAGAGAGAGAGAGAGAGAGAGAGAGAGAGAGAGAGAGAGAGAGAGAGAGAGAGAGAGAGAGAGAGAGAGAGAGAGAGAGAGAGAGAGAGAGAGAGAAAGAGAGATGCAGAAATGCAGTTGGTGTGCCACACATTTGAATCGGCAGGCCATGCCTTTGTACTACATGGCCTGCCTGGAGCTGAAAGATGGCGGCAGCCTGCAGTGTAACCGAAGAGTTGACGAGACCGGGTACTGTCGAATGTGCCAGAAGTCGGGGAAGGCGGGTTTGCGCGCGATCATTTTGCGTTTATGCAGTTGCGCTGCGCAGGTGGGGCCGCGGCTGAATGTGCGCTGTCGTTTTCAAGATGCTTTCGGATCATGCTGGGTCACAGTTTTTCACCCAGCTGCCGAGAAAGTGCTAGGTTCGACCGCCGAGTCCATTGTCGAACTGAGCCAGCAGTCTGAGGAGATCTGTGAAGAAGCGCTCAAGGACACATACTACGACGAGATGTTGGAGCTGCAGCTGCGAGCCAAGCCGGACACGTGGGGTGGCGAAGCCAGGACACATGTCACCTGCGTGGGAGCGCAGCGGATCTCCAGTCGAGAACATTCCCGCACGCTTTTGAAAGAGATCCACCAGCTTTTGAAGTAGAGCGGGAGTAGTGGATAGCGTTGGGGCGGCAGCCATGCTCCGCGTTAGGGGTGCGGAGAGCGGCTGCGACCTGGATGCGCTATAGCGGCGCAGTGTGTCAAGCCGAAGGCTGGACGAAGGCCAAGCCGAAGGCTGGACGAAGGCTGTGCATTTTGCGACATCGAGGAAAGGCATTAAGCGGGCAGCGCGACAGTTTTTGCGGCAGCATTGTTGTTTGTTTGTTTTGGACTTGTGCGCCGTAATTGTGCTTGCAGTTGTCAGCTCGTCACTGGCCTTTGCTATCCGAGCGGTTCAAATTGGACATGGAGCTTGCGAAGAAACCGGTCGAGGCCGGGCCTCCGGAGATCGACTTGACCTTCGTCTCTGCGCGCAAGCGGCCAACACGTTGCATTTGTGACGCGTGTCGCACTCAGCTGCATTCGGTTAGGACCAAATGTGTTTAAAATGTTGTGTAATTCCAGTTTCTTGCGGTCTTCGATTGCAAGGGATTGATGTCACATGTGCCAGACTCAGCTGCATTCGGTTCGGACCATTTGTTTCAAATTGTTTCGTAATTTCAGTTTCTTCAGGTCTTCGATTGCAAGGGATTGATGTCATGTGCCGCACTCAGTCCCTAACCAATTTGTGAGTACTAGATCCATGGGGTCTAGATTTGGGGGGTTTTTGGCTATCTCGAATTATCTCGAATTATCTCGAAGATGTAGGTCAGGTTGAAAGCAACTTGCATGTTTGGGATTTGTTTCTGCATTTTTTGTCATTTGTATGATGTGTGTCTTCATGAATGCCGTGCAATTTTGTTGATTTTGCATTTTCATTTTGTAAATATTTGTTCTAATGATATTTAGTGCTGACGCATGATGGTCGGTCATTGTGTTTTTACTGATCTTAAACCTGATTGCATCGGCTCGTAGCAATCAGGGGGCGGTGATGATGTCAAACGGTGTGTTTGTCGCGTTGCCTTCAATTTCAATCAATGATGTCCCGAATATATCATCAACCGAAATCCCTTCTGATCCAACGCATGGTGGAAGATGCGTATTACTACAGAAGTGACTGGACAGACGAGTGGGCAAGATTTGCAGAGGACGGGCTGGGCTATGACCAGGTGACCAGGTGGCCACTGGATGCAAGTGTGATTTACGAAAGCGAGAGTGACAGTGACCACCATGATCACTCCTGTCCAAATTCGAACGCTCTCAAAATCATGATTGGAAGCTTGGCTGTCGGGCTGCGGGTCCATGAGTTGGGTGAAATAAGTCAGGTCGGGAAACCTGCGCAGCCGGATTTGGTCGTTGCTTTGAATGCAGCTGACTGGCAGTACGAGCATGGCATGGAACGTGTGGAAAACACAGCAGCAGTAGATCGCCTAGCTTATGGCCTGTGGGATAAAACCCATCTACAGGGTGAGGAGTGGAACCTCTTCAAGAACGACTTCAATCGGACTTGGCAGCACATGTATAATGACATCAAAACTACACGGGCTTGGACTGAAGGGCGTTGTCGCAGCATCTTGTTTCATTGCCATGGTGGAGCGCATCGGAGCACATCTGCAGCTGTGGCGTTCCTATTGATGCACCATCGATGTAGCCTTGAAACTGCAGTCCAATGCATTTTGAGAAAGAGAAAGTCGCTGCGAATGTGGTGCAACAGGGAGTACATCATTGAAGCTCTTGTGGCACTGGAACATTCGATCTTGTCAGAGACCTCTGAGACTCTGAGCCAGGTGTGAGTTTCGAGCTCCAACTTAGTTTCACTTGTGTGTGACAGGCTTTGCTACGAAATGAGCATCGACATGTGACATGTGTGTGTGTGTGTCACAACCCACGATCGTCCGTTCACACTTTTCATTTTGTGCATTGCCAAAAGTAATTAAGTATTTAAGTCAAATTTGTCCCACTCCCTTCACTCAGAAAGTTGAATGACTGAGAGGCCTGGCTGGCGCGTTGATGCGACTTTGACTTTGATTCATGGACCTGTTACTGAGCTACTGACTCCAGGACGTGTTTGCAATTTAATTGTGCTACGGAAATTGTGTGTGACATTGTCGAGTCAACAAATGCATTGAAGAATAGTTGGATCTGAGGGTGACTGAACCCTGCCCATGCCATAGTAGTGTTGAGGCCGCCTCGCTTCCAAGATGAAGCGCCCTGCTGCCAAAGCGATAATGAAGCGCCCTGCTGCCAAAGCGATGAAGAGTCCTGCTGCTGCAAGAATCGAGAAACGTCCGGCCATGCAGGTGGATGATGACGAGGCTGAGGACCTGGAATCTCTTCGTCTGATGCTTTATGGCCAGAATGAGAACGACTTCCGCTTCAACAAATGGCATTCGTTGGCGCCGTAAACGGATTTTGATCCTGGCAATCTTCAAAGTATTTGGCGCTGATGATAAGGATATTGAGGAAATGACGCATTTCAGCATGAGCCTGAAGGACTTGCAGATTCAGTGGAAGGACATTACGGACGAGTTGAAACGGAATTTCAGTGATGGTCGGATCCGCGGATATATCTCGGCGGTGGTTAGGTACCTTACGACTCCAGGTTCTTCAACTCATGTTGAATGGCTGTGCTTGGCTATCAAGGTTGCCAGTGCTGTCAGGGGAGTCACGGATCGTCTGATTGATTCAGAAGCCGAAGCAAGTTCAAGCTCTGAAACATCATTTGAGATATGACAATCTAACCCAGCAAGCCAAACAGTGTGTTCCTTGATTCCATGGCAGCACTGGTGGGATGTGGAGCCGGCGTGTTTGAAGTGAGTGTTTGAAAGTTGTGTTACCAAATTCCGACCTGGCAGGTGCTGGTGGCTGAATCTGGACTTTTGCATCATCAGTGTCAGGAACTCAGGCTTTGCGTTTGCTGTCTGTGACGTGTGTGCCATGACATCGAGTCAGTTGTTACTGTTACTGACATTGACTCAGACTCAAGGAAAAACAGTGTGTTGGGTCTGCGCTTTTTGCATTGTGACGCCATGTCGCGCCGCACTGTTCTTGACGTTACTGCCACTCCGCTCGTCAAGAAGCAGAAAGATGAGAGCGGCGGCGCCAGCCGCAGTAACAAGATCTACAGTCACTGCGGGGCAGGCCCAACAGTTTTCTACATCCCAGTCGTTGAAGAGGCCTGGCTCACAATTGGGTGGGACTGACTATGTTACATGTGTTGGCCAAGTTGCTAATTGACAGATTAAGGTGTTGAAGAAGACGGTTTTCACATTGGTGCTTTGTTGCTGGCCCAGTGCGCACTGTGCATTGTCTTGTGCTGGCAGGTGAAATATCTGTGGGGGACAAAAGATGTGAGCCCACTTTACCAGCCGGGCGCGCGCTACCACTTCTCGCTGCGCTCGGAACTCAAGGTGGCAGTGGAGAGGGGAACGTGGTACCGGATGGACAACTATCCTGAGGCCCAGCGCCTTAGCCTTACTAACTGCTGATGCATTGAAGAGTTCCTAATCCACTTCATATTCATATGTGAGTGTGACTGGGACAATGTGAGGCCGTGCTGCTGCTGCTGCTGCTGCTGTTGCTGCTGCTGTTGATGATGTTATTGTTGTTATTGCTGTAGTTATTGCTGTTATTATTGTTATTGCTGTAAGTGTTGTTATTATGTTGTTATTGTTGGTTATTTGTGATGTTGTTTGTATTATTGGTCTTGCTGCTGCTGCTGCTGTTTTTGTTATAATCTTTGTCTTCTTCTTTCTTTTATTGCGCTTCTTCTTCTTCTTGTTGCTGTTGGTGGTGGTGATGGTGCACAGCTGCGAAATTACTAAAGACTGCTTGCTGGAATTGGCAAACAGGTCAACTAAAACATGGTAATGTAATCTTGCGCAGACACAGTCAGTTGTCAGCTGAGTCCGGAGATCATCTTCATCAAGATGTCCGTCACGAAGCTGGGAATGCAAAGGCTTCAACAGGACAAGACGCTAACGCGGTGGAGGTTCCACATGCCCATCAGCCAGAGCATGTTCCTGGAAGAGGGCAACGCTGACTCACTTCTCTTTGAGTGTCTGCTATGCGAGACCTCGGAGCGGCTCGAATGAGTGAGCCAAACACTGTGTTACAACAGTGTTGTGATTCAGTCACGGGGGGCAGATGATGACTGGCAATGATTCAGAACATTAAATTGACGTTGCTGTCAAATATTAACCTTGTCATTCACATGTCACAGCAAAACCAGTCACGATCAACATCTGCATCTCAGACTGCGAATTGAAGTGACACAGTGACTCAGTCACTGTCACTGTCACTCACAGACAGAGCGTTTTGATGCGGAAGGGAAAAGATAAAGACTAACCTGCTGCCATTGAACTTACAGAAGCACAAGTGAGAGCCATGTCATGTAACTAGGTTTTTAAAGGTCTGCAAGGAGCCCTCACTCACAGTCACGGTCAATGCTGTGTCGTGAACTAGTGGTGATTTCTGTGACCAGGTCCGCCAGATGGAGATGCTCATTTACGGTGTGCTGCCCTCAGCCAAAACTTGACATTAAAAGCCTTGAGTCAGGACTCAGTGTCATTAGCTTTCATTTCAGTTCAGCCTTCGTCAATCTTTGTGAATTGCCATGCCTGCAGCTGTGATATGATCAGGCCAGACACTGTGTCATTCACTGTGTCCTGTCTTTGCAGCCATGTTTCATTTAGTGATTCAGGAACTCAAGGCCCGCCTTGGCCAAGGCACACAAATCAGCGGGGCAATTGCCACTCCGGAGCCTAGCAGCCCAGCACCTGCAAAGCAGCATCACAAGGCTTTCCGCTCTGCCGGAACGGTGGCCCTTACTCTGCCTGGGCAAGAAGGCCAGACAGTGTGTTATTCTTTGCGGTACAGATATCTGGGGGCCGGCTGTCACCGAGATGCTTACATGGTGAGTGATCTGAGGCACCCAGAAGATGAATTCAATAGGTTGGTGATGAAGGTGTCCAACAGCCATGATCGGTCGATGCAAGAAGACATCTGCTGCATAAATGCGGTGAGGGATCAGGCTCCGAGAAATGCTAGCCTATCTCCCAGACA